TCTCTGACGATGCCGACTACGATTCCGGCGAAACGTTTGGGAGTGTACCACGTCCATGGTTCAACTTTGGAAATGATCATGCAGTCAATGGAACCCGGACAAGGTGCGTTCCTCTAAGTATTCCTACCAATATGACCATGTTGCGAAAACAAGGTCAAACAACCTCTACACAACGAAAGGAGACTGCGACCACACAAAATGCCACACCATTTTGGTCTTCATACCTTCGATTAGTCAGTCTAGATCGTCGAAGTTGACTTATGGACTGATATTGTGTAATGACTCTCCATTTCGAAAGGAAAGTAGGCTGAAAGATAGAGTACTAAGTCCACGGTCGGAATCTGGAAATGATCATGCATACTATGGACTCCGGAAAAGAAGCGTTCCTCTAGGTTTTCCTGTCAATATGGTCAAGCCGAGGAAGTAAGGTCAAACAACTTGTATACAGCGAAAGGACACCATGACCATTACTAAAGGCCACACCATCTTTGTCTACATACTTTCCACAATAAGGCATCAACTTTAGCTTTCTACGTGCATACAGTGCCAAAACTCGAGGATAAGAGATGATACAGAGTCATGCCGCCAGTGTAATGTGTTCAGATGACTGCTAGTGGCGGGCAACATGCTTCGAATTCCGCGGTCAGGAAGGAGAAAGTTCTATGAGATACGGTAAGAGATGCTCATCGACAAAAAACGACACGTCTTGGAGCACCAAAACAATCAAAAGCATATTAAAAGATGAATCAACCTAGTCTCTCTTCCTCTTGGAGCATTAGGCATGCACGAGCAACACATCGGAGATTAGTTTCTGTCAAAAAAGTCGAATTATACACCACATGCCGAGGAATGATTTGGACCTACAAGGTCCTGTGCTTTCCAACACACTGCAATCATACAGTTCCCCATTAACCCTAACCGTCAACCTCCGTCGCATCTAAACGGAATGGTAGTCTGTCTAGGTTTAGATGAATTGCTTGAGTTACAAGTCTTGTGGTTGCAGTCATTCGCAGATGGACATCACCATAAAATGATGGCGGCTTCTTGTTGATCTGCAATCACTCAGATTACCCAAAAATTCAGGTTGACCCAGCTTGTGGGATTTCCTCCCTCGAGTCAAAAGAAAAGAAGCAGAAAAGACTAACCGGTCGGGAGATAAAGGATTATTTGAGGGCCAAGAATGGTGTTTCCTACTTCAGGATGCCGGCGAAATGCCTTGGAATGTACCAAGTCAACAGTGGAGTGCTGAAAATCATCATGACTGTCATGACAGAAGACACAGAACCAGTTACATTGCATAAGGCCTCCTTGTTGCGAGAATCATTTAATACACACTTTCATGTATAAATATATGTATATATATATATGTGTGTGTGTGTGAGTGTGTGAGTGGCTGCATCTGAATGTATGCAAGTTCGAGGCATCTAGCGCATCTCAAAGAGAATGAATGGATTTATAGACAATGTCCCAGTTTACTTTAACTTTCCAAAACATTGAAGTGGTAAAGGTATATGCAAGTCAATGAAAATACGACCCATCGATAAAAGAGTCGTTGCCATTTTGTGTTCTTTTGAAGGGAGCAGCGAGGAAATTCTTTGATTTGCCTTAAAGCAGTACAGATTGGCAATTCGTCGCTGAAACTGGTATAATTGTAGATATTCTGTCCTATGAGTTGAGTTAACCGATTTTGGAAGCAAACTCTGCGCGTTTCAGTTCTTCATATCTCCTTAAGTTCATATTCCACACCTGCTTGACACAAATTTAACTTCAGAGAGCAACATAATAAAGTCACAATTAATGACATACAGTCATTAAATCTGTTATTTCCCGAATCTATGCAACAAATATTTGCAAAGCTAATTTTCCTCTAATAATTATTTGTGACAAAACATGACACCACAGTTTGATAGAATAGGATTAAGCAAAATAACCTATTTGGCATCGATACACGTCCGGTGAGCAATTGAGTCCCGGCTCACCCAAGCAATGGGAGCATCTGCGATTAAATATAAATTGCAAAATGGAGGGAAAGAAGGCGGAGAATATGACGAAACGACTAGTTACAAGACACAAAAATCACACAAACTATTTAAGAGAAACTCTTCTGATAAATCTGTTCACCGAAGATAGAAGAAGTACTGTATGTGGCCAGCCAATTGTGCAACATCCCATACTTCAGAGCTGGAAGCGATACATAATTTCAACTGTGATCTCCTTAAACTACCGCCAGAGACCGCGTATCTTACAGAATAACTGCGTTCTGAAATCAGGCACCAAATGACCAGTGGAAACAAGTTGCCGGGGCAGAAATGCCAAGAAAAAGAGGAACAATTGAATTGAGCTGGGCCAATTTTACATGCAACAAAGAAGAAGAACAAAGACCTGAAAAGCAATTACTTTACAGGCCTTCCTGCAATAAAAGCAAACAAATAGCCTTTCTGGGCAATTGTTCCGCTGAATGTTCGCGGATACCAAAAGAGATTGTTGAAAAAAAAGAGTTCATAAAATATTCTTAATTTCACAGATTTCTGTGTATACTTTTGTTTCAATGACCATAATGGTATTAATTAAAAGACTTTCAATCAAATGGCATTACACCCTGAAACATTGGTACTTTTGTTGCTGGGTCCAAAATAAAATCTAGAAAGACGTGTTTTTCAGCTGGTGCAATCAAGCGAGTAAATTTTCACCTTCGTCCGCATCATCAACCGGACCGAAAGTGATGCTCACCTGAAACGCGGCGCCCCCCTCGATTATGCCCTTAACCACGACTCCACCGAGGTTGTGGAAGCAGTCCACGACTACGTTTGCAGTCCCTTCCTCATGCTTCCCTCCATCCTCCACTGGTGTCATCATCTCTGAGGCGACGAGTGAATCACG